TCAAGTATGTTCAAGTTTTTTCCTCATGTTTTATTTTATTATTGAGTTTTGCAAATTCTTGTTTTCTTTTTTGAGATGGAGTTTCACTCTTGTTGCCCAGACTGGAGTGCAATGGGGCGCTCTCGGCTCTCTGCAACCTCCGCCTCCCAGGTTCAAGCAATTCTGCCTCAGCCTTCCAGAGTAGCTGCGACTACAGGCATACACCACCACTTATACACTGTTCATGGGACCGTGAATTCGTTCAGCCATGGTGTGAAGCAGTCTGAAAATTTTTCAAAGAACTTAGAAAAGAACTACCATTCAACCCAGCAATCCCATAACTGGGGATATCTGCAAAGGAAGATACATCATTCTGGAAAAAAAAAAAAAAAAAAAAAAAATCGCCTGCACCTGTATGTTCATTACAGCACTGTTCACAAGAGCACAGACATGGAATCAACCTAGATGCTCATTAACGGTGGATGGATAAAGAAAATGTGGTATATACACACTTTGGGTACTACTCAGCCATAAAAGCGAATGAAATTATGTCCATTGCAGTCTCACGGATACAGCTGGAGGTCATATCTAAAGCACATTAAGCAGAAACAGAAAACCAAATACCACGTGTTCTCACTTACAAGTGGGAGCTAAGCACTGGGTACACATGGACATCAAGATGGAACAACAGACACTGGGGACAACCACAGACGGGAGAGAGGGGTGAGCGCTGAAAATCTACATATTGGGTCCTATCTGGGTGCTGGGGATCATTCATACTCCAAACCTGGAGTATGCACGATATACCCACGTAACAAACCTGCACATGTATCCCTTCAATCTAAAGTGAATGTTTTTTTTTAAATCTCATGGGATTCATTAGAGGAATTAAAAGAGGCTGAGTCCATCCATGTACCATTCAAAATCCAAGAGTGGCTCACAAATGCTCTGGTTTTAGAGCTTCATTATGGGTTTTGTGATACAACACAAACAGGCAGAAGGGAACTGCATTCAATGTACTTGAAACAAACCGTCGCGTATAAAACAATACCATTTGTAGCCAGGCATGGTGGCTCACGTCTGTAATCTCAGCAGCACTGTGGGAGGCTGAGGAGTCCGGCAGATCATCTGAGGTCAAGAGTTTACATTCCCACCAACAGTATTTGAGGGTTCCCCTTTCTCCACATCCTCACCAGCATTCATTATTGCCTTTTTGACAAACAACTATTTTAACTGGGGTGAGGTGGTATCTCATTGTGGTTTTGATTTGTGTTTCTCTGATGATTAGTGACGTTGACATGCCACCGTGCCCTCGGCTGGCCACAGCTCAATTATACATCTAACATTCACGTGGCTCAAAGAGTCCCTATGAAGCCAATAGGGCCACTGGTATCATGTAGAAGGATACAAGACACGAAACACCGTGTGCTAGCAGACTGGTATCATGCCTGTGTCTTTAGCAGGAGTCCTCATGGCCGTGCACACGTCAGTCCAGGGGCTATTCTCTGGATCCTGCTCCCCAAGCGACACCTCAGGTGCAAAGGAACAAGGTCACATGGGTGGGCACAGGGCTACCCGGCTTAGAAGCCTGTGTCTCAAAAAGGAACTGAGATTTCTTTTAACAGTCCCATCGTCAAAGTTTTCAAGAGTCCCAGCAATGGACACGCCTAGTTACAAACACCACTGCACTCAGGGAAACCCAAAGTATGGTTTAACTCTTGATTTTTTCTCCAAAGTAAACCACCAAAAAGTTGACCATAGATTTCAAAACATTTATAATAGCAAAGTCCAACTGATGGCAGACTTCAACAACTGCAATTACTCTTCTCTAACTCTAGACGCCCCCAGTGTTTACAATTCATTCATAGCTCTCCCAATTCAGATAATGATGACCAACTACGGGATGTTTTTATTTGTAGTCTGGTAACCCAACACAGATGACATTCCACCTTTTCCAGGTTTCCAAGGGAACCAGCTCAGAAAGTTAACCCAAGTTCACATTTATTTCTACAGAAAGATAAAAAAACTTTTGTAACTTTATTCATGCATATGCAATACAAGGGTCAGTGGACTTTCTGAGACACCTTCAACCTCACTAACAAAATTTCAAGAGCCGTGACAAACCTTAATGTCAAACAAAGACTGCTTTATAACAGCAGAACTGCTATCACATCTGTCAGCTGGATCTGCCATGGGCTTTTCTGTGTCGTATCAACTGCTTCCCCATGTCTCTGAGTTGTGGAAAGTATCCCAGACCCAAACACATTTGTTTTTCTTTCTTTTTTTACTTTTTTGAGATGGAGTCTCACTCTCTCCCCCAGTCTGGAGAGCAGTGGCGCAATCTCGGCCCACTGCAGCCTCCGTCTCTACCTCCCGAGTTCAAGCAATTCTGCATCAGCCTCCAGAGTAGCTGGGGTTACAGGTGTGTGCCACCACATCCGGCTAATTTTTGTATTTTCAGTAGAGACGGGGTTTCACCATGTTGGCCAGACTGATCTCGAACTCCTGACCTCAGCTGATCCACCTGCCCTGGCCTCCCAAAGTGCTCGGATCACAGGTGTGAGCCACTGCGCCTGACAGGAAAACACATTTCCGGTTCATGCATACATATGCCAGGTGGGATAAACCAGCCCCGGGACCCCGACGGTGCTCATGCGTAGAGCAGGGTGATCGCCAGGCCCCAAGATGGCATGCTTGGATGCTGGCAGCAGGTGATCTGGCCTGTTGTTAGGCCCTCTGCTGGTGCAAGCACAAACCAGAAGTGTCAGGCAGGGCAGGTCTATCCCCTGGTCCCTAGATAGAGTACCTGTGCATTTGCGAGGTGGAGGATCTCTGGGAGGGGTCAGCCTGTCCTTAGGCCCTGTGGGAGCCTGCATGGACACAGGTTGTGGTTGGTGGGTTGGGGTGATCCCCAGGCCCCTGAATGTCATCCTTGGGCACCAGGGGCAGGTGGGCTGGGTCTCTTCTCAGTTCTCCCTATGATAGGTGTCTGTACCCATGGCAACAGGTGGGCAGAACAATTTCCAGGCTCCCAGGTGGTTTGCTTGGGTGGCAGTAGTGGTGACTGGTTTTGAGTGGGGTGAGTCTGCATTCAATAGTCAACTTAGAAACCCTAGACACCATTTTCCATGCCAACTGACCTGCCCACCACCCAGAAAGGCACTGGACACTGTGCCATGTGGCTGGCCCAGCACTGGGCCAGGCCTCCACGAGGATAAGGAAACATGGGCATCTGACATATACCAGAACCCATACAGAGTGAGAAAACAAACAAAACCAAACAATGCAACAAAACTTGGGCAAAGAACCGAAAGACATTTCTGAAAAGAAGGCAGGAAATGAACAGGTAAAGGAAAAGCTTGTCCACATCGCTAACCATCACAAAAATGTAAACCAAAGCCACACTAAGAGAGAGTCTCCATCCACATAAAATAAATGTTGCCAAAAGCAAAAACATAATTTTTAACAGGCAATCACCAGTGTGGATCTGCAGACAGGGAACCTCTTAGATACTACAGGTGGTGATGGAAATTGGTGTACACACTATGAGCAATAGTCGGCAGTTCCTCCTCAAACGAAAAATACAACCACTACGTCATCCAGCAATCTCGCCACTGGGAAATACAAAGTATATGGATGTATTACGCTTCCTGATTACGAATGACATAGAAGAGCCATAGTGATCCAAACAACATGGTTTTGGCATTAACACAAAAATACAGAACAACAGACACAATGAGGGAACCAAATACCAAACCCAAATTCATATATGACGGACAGATTTTTTAAAAATACACCCAGGGGATGGGAGACTCTGGGCTGCCTTTGGTCGGGCTGCAGAAGTGTCCTGGGGGGACCTGCAGCCGCCTCTCATCTGGCCTCTGGATGGTTTCTACTCCATGAGGATTTCCAGAGTTTCCCCTCAGCCACCTTCAGAGTCAGGAGGGCTTCAATGGGGCTGCGACCATCTGTCCCAGCCTTTCCTGTCTGAATGACACACCGCATGATCTACGAATACTGCAATATGTAGCTGCGTGTACTGAAAGCGTACAGTTAAGATGACTTGTAACCGATGCTACTCTAAGTCTTAAAACATTTTTCAGATATCCCCAGACCGAAACAAACTAGTGACATTCCATGGTTTTGCAAACTGTCACCAGCAGCTGCACAGAAACAGCTCCCTATGCACCATCGGACACTCTCCAGACCCGCCCCTCGCTCACAAATGTAACAAACGAGCATGAACCCAGGCAGTCTTCCCTCCTAAGGGCCACATAGCAACCTCTTATCGGTCAGGAAGCCGTTGATCTGGGCCAGGATGCTGACACACAGGGGTTAATTGTGCCTCTAATGCTGAGTGTTGCTTTCCCTCACTGGGCTAAGCCTCACCCTTGCATCAAGAAGGGCCCCCAGGGAAACTGCTGTCTGACATCCAGGAGCCCACGTGGAATGTTCCAGCAACCTGAATGGCCTCGGCCACCTCTACTACCAGGCTTTCCCTCTATGGGGCTCCCTTTCTGGCTCTTGCTCGTGCAGGCCAATCTAAAGTGGCTGACATGTCCTGCTCCCTCAGCTTCCCGGGTCACCCTGATGGCACAGGCAGGTGTCTGCAATCAAGAATGAGGTAGCCACAGGCCGAACTCCCTGGTGCGGGGGACAATGCCTGGGTCCTCCAAACAGCCAGCCCCAGATAAAGAATCCAGCTCTGACACAGCTCAAAGACTGTGTGGTGGACCTGGAGAGACGCTCTGGGCCTGTGTCCTCTTCTGGCTCACTGGATTCTTTGGAGGATGACTGAGACACTGGGCCTAAAGCTCTCAGCCTAGGGCCCAGAATGCCACACGGAATCAGATCAGCGTGACCCGGGACTGAAGACCTCTCCTTGGCTGGGAATGGGGCATCAGGGTTGCAAAGACAAGGGGCACAGAGCGATGCCTGTGCCATCAGAGAAGAGACTGGGGATCTGGTCCACCCTGGGCTCCTCAACCTGAGTGCGAGGCCTTGCTGGGCCCTGAGCTCACCTCCCCATCGGGAGTCCATTGTGACTGCAGTACAGTGGGGTCAATGTCCGCACTGATGCCAGAAACAAGTCCTGGGAGATGCGGAGGGCATCCTGTACTGGTAGGCAGTCTGGGTGGTCCACAGGTGTGTGCTTCAGCAGGACCTGGTAAGGGATGAGGTGGTGAATTGGGGGCTTTGTGTTTGGGGCTCAGTGAGAAGCTCCTGGGGAATGCTAAGTCCTCGCCAAAAGAATTCAAAGGGCAGGTACTCAGGGACCCACACTCAGGCCTGAAAAATCTGAACTGAAAATTAGAATCGGAGCAGCAGGGTTGACTCTAAAAGGGCCCCAGCTCGCTTGTCTCCCTGCTGCAGTCATTACTCTTTTTCCCTGGCACAGGCAGCTGGGTGGACGCTCATCTCGCCAAGCAGCTAGCAGAGACACCCCTCTATCCACCCTGCAGCTGCTCCAAGGAAAATGGAGACCAAAACACAGGGTTTGGGGAAGCAGAACGTTCTTGCCTGCACCAAGAGAGCAACTGGCCAAATGTCAAGCTCAGTAGTTAAGCTCTATTGAGGCCTTGGCCCTCTTGGCATGGACACCACCGGTCAGGCAGGCATACTCAGGGCCCAGGATCCCTCTGCCCAACTTATCAAATGGGCTGTTCTCAGTGACTCTGGCACCCTCCAACCCTGGGGTCAGTCTTCTGAGAAACTCCTGAGCCCTCTCTGGCCCTGTAAGGGGCCATAACACCCATGTGTAGGACCACGATGCTCTGAGTGACTTACTTGGTCAATGGGCTGCTACAGTTGAGCTGTTGGGGACGGCAGAGAGGAAAAGGACAATGACATACAAAGAACCACTCAACACCGCAGAGACCCGCTTTGTCCCCCACCTGCCTTGCTCCCCAAAAGAACACCCGCTTGCAGGAAGCCAAAGAAGGTCCACAGCAGCCTCCACCTCTGTTCTCACTTGCCAGGCAGACCAAGGAGCGAGAACAGGTGACACACAACTCTGGCGACCCTGTTCCCTCCCCATCCATGCCTTCTCTCCCACCAGATCTGGCTTCTTCGAGGGCCGCCCCCCAGTCCACGCGGTCAGGAGGTCACGAGGACCACATATTGTGTGATTCCATTTATAAGAAATGTCCATAATAAAGAAATCTACAGGACAGAAAGTAAATTAGTGGTTGCCTGTAGTAAATAGAGAATGACTGTTAATGGGTATAGGATTTCTTGATGGAGTGGTAAAAATATCCTAAAACTGGTTGTGGTAATGGTTATACAACTCTGAATACACTTAAAAAAAAAACCCCACTGAAATGTACATTTTAAGTGGATGAATTGTATCTTGTGTAGCATATCTCAATAAAAAATGTTCTTTCTTAAAAAAAAAAAAAAACTAAGTGTGTAATTTTCATTTATGCTTGAGGTTTCAATTCTATAACCAACTCGAAACTGCCAGCATTCACGTTCCTGCCGTTCAAAAAGCATGAGATTTTTCAGGCCTGAGTGTGGAAGTCTTTTTAGATTGAAGTTTTATGTTTGGCTTCTTTCATTTAGCATAAATTATTCAAAGTTCATCCAAGTTGCAGCACGTATCAAAACTTCATGAACAAGGGATGTCTTTCCATTTATTTAGATTTTCTTTAATTTCTTTCAGCAATGTTTTGTATTTTTCAGTGTATTAGACTTGTGCCTCCTAATACCATATTATTAGAATAAAGGAAAAAAAACACATGATCATCTCACTAGACACTGTAAAAGCATTTGGTAAAATCCAGCAACCATTTATGACTTTAAAAAATTCAACAAACTAGGAATAAAAGGTAATTTTTTCAGTCTAAGAAAGGGTACCTATGAAAACCCACAGTTGGCTGGGCACAGTGGCTTATGCCTGTAATCCCAGCACTTTGGGAGGCCAAGGTGGGCAGATCACTTGAGGCCAGGAGTTCAAGATCAGCCTAGGCAATATGCAAAACTCCATCTTTAACTAATACAAAAACTAGCCAGGTGTGGTGGCACACACCTGTAATCCCAGCTACTTGGGAGGCTGAGACATGAGAATCACTTGAACCTGGGAGCAGAGGTTGCAGTAAGCCAGTAACACACCACTGCACTCCAGCCTGGGTGACAGAGTGAGACTCTGTCTCAAAAAAAAGAAAAACCCACGCTTTAACACTATACTTAACGGTGAAGACTGAAAGCTTTACCCTTAAGATCAGGAACAAGAAAGAATATTCTTTATCACCATTTCTATTCAACATTTTTCTGCAAGTTCTAGCTAAGACAGACAAGAAAAAAGAAAGAAAAGGCATCCAGATAGGAGAAGTAGTAAAATGATCTCTATCTGCAGATGATGTGATTTATATCTAGATTTTTTTAAGAGATGGGGTCTCACTATGTTGCCCAGTCTGGGTTCAAACTTCTGGGCTCAACTGGTCCTCCCACGTCGACATCCTGAGTAGCTGGGACTACAGGTGTAGGCCATCACATCCAGTTTATATCTAGAAAACCTTTAAGAATTCACATAAAAACTTGGAACTAGTAAATCCAGAAAAGTTGCAAGATGAAAGATCAATATACAAAATTCACTTGCATTTACAGTAACAGTAAATTAAAACATTTCCATTTATAGCAGCATCAGAAAGAATAAACTATTTAGGAATAATAGTGAGCCGAGATCGCACCACTGCACTCCAGCCTGGAAAACAGAATGAGACTCTGTCTCTAAATCAATCAATCAATCAATCCCTTTGAGAACTGCTTTCACTGCCTCCCATAAATTTTGGTATGCTGTGTTCATTTTTGTTCTCAGAGTATTTTCTAATTTCCCCTGTGATTAATTTTTTGACCCATTGGTTATTTAAAGTGTGTGCTTTAATTTTCACTTATTTTCCAATTTTCCTTCAGCTATTAATTTCTAATCTTTCATAGTGATCAGAAAAAAATGAAGAACATTTACATGCTTTCAATTTTTTTATTTATTTCATTTTGATCTTTGTAGAGATAGGGCCTCCTGAGGCTGCCCAGGCTGGTCTCAAACTACTGGGCTCAAGTGATCCTCTCACCTTGGCCTCCCAAAATACTGGGACTACAGGCACGAGCCACCACATCTGGCCGATTTCAGTCTTTTTAAATTTAATAAGACTAGTTTTACAACCAAACACATGACCTAACCTGCAATCTTCCATGTGCACCTGAGAGAAGAATGTGTATTCTGCTATTATTGGGTGCAGTGTTGTATAATGTCTTTAGGTCTGCTTAGTACACAGTACTATTCAAGTCTTCTATTCCCTTGCTGGTTATCTATCTGGTCTTATCTCAATCATTTCTTTTTTTCCTTTTTGCAACGGAGTTTTATTATTGTGATAAATAAACATAAACCATTTTAACCATCTTTAAGTATATGGTTCAGTGGCATTAAGTATATTCATATGATTGTGCTACCATCACCACCATCCATCTCCGGTACTTTTTTCATTTTGTAAAACTAAACTGTGTACCACCCCCTTTCTTTTTTCCCTCCCCCAGCCCCTGGCAACCATCATTCTACTTTTTGTCTCTATAAATATTACTAACTCTAGGTATTCCATATAATTGGAATCATGTAGTAGTAGTCCTTTTGTATATGGCTTGTTTCATTTAGCACAATGTCTTCAATGTGCATCGTGTTGTAGCATGTGTAAGAATGTCCTTCCTTTTTAAGGAAGAATGGTATTCCATTCTATCATATAATACAGGTTGTTGATCCATTCTATTGACGGACACTTGGGTTGCTTCCACTTTTTGGCTACTGTGAATAACACTGCCACAAAAATGGGTGTGCCTAAAATATTTCACCAAATCTCTGCTTTCAATTCTTTTGGGTGTACACCCAGAAGTAGAATTGCCAGATCATAGGGTAATTGTTTACTTTTTTGAGGAATTGCCATACTATTTTCCACAGCAGTTACAACATTTTATAGGTCCCCTCCAACAAGGCATAAGCCTACCCATTTCTCCGCATCTTTGCCAACACCACTTATCTCCTTTGTTAGCCAGCGGAAACTGGCATGGAGATTCTTTTTTTAAAAATTATTTTCTCTTCTCTTTTTTACTTGCCACTGGCTTGAAGCTGAGACATGGAGAGTCTTAGTAAATCCTCAATGATTATCATGACTTTTCTGTATGTCCACTGCAATATGCTTGGCTCTTTAATCTTAAATGAGTTGAGGATCATCACTTAAAGTCACGTACAAATTCACCCAAAAGGGACCTGTTAATGGCAGATCTTCTTAATTAATCTGTTCCTCTACTATGTTATTACCTCTTTTGCATGAAATTTGTATACAAATGTTGTAGCTACACCTTTTATGCCATTTTGGTGAGATGAGGTCTGATGTGAAGAGATCAGGAACACAGAACTCCATTCCCTTTTTGTGTTGTACTTCTGTGCATTTGTGCCAAAGTATGAAATGCAATCAAGAGCATCAGTTGCAAGCTGGGGAGAATCTCTGTAACTAATATTGTATGTGAGGACACTAGAAATCAAAATTGTATTTTTTAGCAGAATGGATGATTTCTACAGGTTTCTCTTTTGTATGGAGAATTAGAGTTCACTCTCCAAAGTTATATTTAATGCAACTTAAAAAAAGCATTTAACCTAGACTTAAATAAGAAAGTGCTACAACAGATGCGTAATACTGGAAATACTGGGTGCTGTGGAAAGGTAACAAACTTACTTCATCCAAGTGATAGTCAAGTTACGGCTGGACTTTGAGAATGTGTTTCTAACATTTTGTATAGGACTCATCATTTCTTCTTGATCGGCTCACAGCAGCCTCTGCCTCCCAGGCTCAAGTGATCCTCCCACCTCAGCCTCTCAAGTAGCTGGGACTCCAGGCACACAACACCATGCCAGCTAATTATTAATTTTTGTAGAGACAGCGTTATGCCATGTTGCCCAGGCTTGAACCCCTGGGCACAACGGATCCACCCGCCTCAGCCTCCTAATGTGTTAGGATTATAGGTGTGATCCACCATGCCTGGTCAGGACTTATCATTTCTAATGTGTGACAGGTAGTAAGCTACGACACTCCAGCAGTTGATTTGGCAATTACTCTCACATGGGACAAAAGAATCATATGATTACCTGATAGCCTTCTGTTTTCTTCTGACACCACTTCAGCAAGGCGTTCCTCTTTGATCCTCCATATTCTCTGGCCAATGCTGAGAGAGGGTCTTTCCTTTCTTCTCTGAAAACAAGTAACCCAAAGTTGAAATATTTTTTGTTTGGGCACCACAATAAGAGAAAAGTCTTAGTTTGCATTTTTAAACAGGAGAAATGTACATGGTAAGGCAATACAAAGGCAAGATATGTTTTTCCATACATTTGATTTTTAGTTTATGGCCCTATAGATGCACTATTGTCAGAATTCTCTGCTAACTGAAGAAAGGGACTCTATAATAATCACCCACATAGAAAGTGGCAAAGACAGTACAAAGTGCATTTAAAATTAATAAAATGCGCCGGGCACTGTGGCTCATGCCTATAATCCCAGCACTTTGGGAGCCTGAGGCAGAGAGATCACCTGAGGTCAGGAGTTCGAGATCAGCCTAGCCAACATGGTGAAACCCCATCTCTAATAAAAATATAAAAATTGGCTGGGCATGGTGGCGGGTGTCTGCAATCCCAGCTACTTGGGAGGGTGAGGCAGGATAATCACTTGAAACCTTGAGATGTAGGTTGCAGTGAGCTGAGATTACGCCATTGCACTCCAGCCTGGGCAACAAGAGTGACGCTGTCTCAAAAAATAATAAAATAACCATTTATGTCCTTTATCATCTCATCATTTTAAAAATTACTTGTAAAATATACAGGTAAGGTTATGCAACGTGCAGGATTCTAAGGCATAACAGTTCTTGCCTTCAAGGGATCTACAATGGGTGAAGCAAACAGACAAAAAATGGCAATACACATGGACAATATTTATAACTTCCATGAAATGTCTCAGATGTATTTAGTGCTATGTTGTACGCTGTTTTTTGATTTTAGGCAGTTAGAATTTTGCCTTGCTCAAAAATGGAATTTCTCTGTAAACTCACTTATTCAACATCTCCTTATGGAGTACCATTGTGCCAGGCAATGTGCAAGCAGTAGGCAACTGAAGGTGAACAACACAGGGCCCCTATCCCCTCAAGGAACTTCAGAGTTTACTACATGATAGTAAGTAAAAACACTGTAGAAGTTTGGGGGGTTAAAATTCTGTGGCTATACATATGATTCATTAAAAAAAAAATCTATGTAGGGTACTTTACGGCATTATCAACTGCCTTGTAGTCAAAATAAATATCCTGCCTTAGGCCAGACCTTTAATCAAAAAAGGTTTTGCAATCACCCCTGGTGAAGGGGCAGGGGAGACTTACAATTCTACTCATTCTGCATCGTATCTTCCCGTTTGGTCACAGTTTGGAAGTGGAACAGAACACCAAGGAATACCCAGAGAAAGAGAGTGCTGTGTAATATAACCTCAGCTTGACTAGCAGCCTGTGCTTAAAAGATTGGCCTATTTTTCAGTGATTATAGCAAAGTGGAGACTCTAGTCCCATGTTCTGTGAACTTAGCAGCCCAATAAATATCCTAAAGGTTCATATGTTATAAGCAGCTTAGTATTCCTCAGTATATTTATTCTGTTAGCATTCACCCTCCAAAGTATGCTAGGAAATCAAAAAGGACACATTTACAACACAAGCTTTTCTAATTGAGAGGAGCCTTGAAATAGTAACAATTTTTATTTATCTAAGAACCAAAAGGAAAAATGCTACTTTTCTACCTGCAGTCAGACTGCCTCCTTGAAGGAAATACACATTTTTATGTGCCAACCTGTAACATTCCTGCTTTGCTTTAAATAAAGCAGGGACGTCCAATCTTTTGGCTTCCCTGGGCCACAATGGAAGTAGAAGAATTGTCTTGGGCTACACACAGTGACACGAACAATAGCTGATAAGCTAAAAAAAAAAAAAAAAAAAAAATTGCAAAAAAGAAAAAATCTCATAATATTTTCAGAAAGTTTACAAATTTGTGTTGGGCCACATTCAAAGCTGTCCTGGGCTGTGGGTTGGAGAAGCCTGCTTTAAAGGATTCCAAGAGGTTTGTTATACTATCACTAAACACAGGGAAAGAGAATGACACAGTTATGTGAATGGATGCAAAAAGGGACATCAAAAACAAAAAACAAAAACTTGTCATGGCTCTACATAAAACTCACTTTTTTTAAGACTTTTTTTTTTTTCCTTTTGAGACGGAGTCTTACTCTGTCGCCCAGGCTGGAGTGCAGTGGTGCAACCTCGGCTCACTGCAAGCTCTGCCACCTGGTTTCACGTCATTCTCCTGCCTCAGCCTCCCGAATAGCTGGGACGACAGGCGCCCGCCACCGCGCCCGGCTAATATTTTTTTGTATTTTTAGTAGAGACGGGGTTTCACCATGTTGGCTAGGATGGTCTCAATCTCTTGACCTCGTGATCCGCCCGCCTCACCCTCCCAAAGTGCTGGGATTATAGGCATGAGCCACCGCGCCTGGCCAAGACTCTTTTTTTAAGACAGAGTCTCACTCTGAAGCCCAGGCTGGAGTGCAGTGGCGCGATCTCGCTCACTACAACCTCTGGCTCCCAGGTTCAAGCAATTCTAGTGCCTCAGCCTCCCAAACAGCTGGGACTGCAGGTACACAAAACCAGATCGGGCTAATTTTTGTATTTTTAGTACAGATGAGCTTTCACCATGTTGGTCAGGCTGGTCTTAAACTGCTGACCTCAAGTGATCTGCTCACCTGGGCCTCCCAGAGTGCTGGGATTACAGGCATGAGCCACCACACCCGGCCGCTTCCTTTCATTCTTCTTAATGTTTGTCAACAGTTTTCTTCATCCCTATAAACAAAGTATGCTAAATTTCTGACATCTGTATTTCCCCCTAAGTTCTTAATACCTCTTAGTCCTAAGAGAACTATGAATAAAATATACTTGGATTTTCATGTACTTTTAATCAATTATTAATGTAGCACCATGTTCCCAGACTCCCAGTGTAAACAAACACAGACATCTTTGATATCATCCATTCTTGCATTCCTTTTATAAAGATCTGTTGCTGAAATCATTTTTCTTTATGAGAAATCTCCTGGGTCCAACCTCTCTTCACTTCTTTTCCACTGTTATCACACTGATCCAGACATGATAATTTATTTACACCACTTTACAGCTTCTATTACATCAAAGTGACTCAATTTGACTTTAAAAAAGTTCCATCACTTTGCCATCCCCTGCCTAGTCAATCTTTTCTTCTACTGTTCCCTGATATGGTAGGTACACCTTCCTCTGGCCTTCTGTATCACTCTACTGAATTTATAGAACCACCTACCTACAGCATCCCCCTCCACACTCCTCACTTATTCATCCCTTTCGTACATTCCCTCAAGTTACTGTACTTTGCCAACCATGCCCCCCACCCTCCCTGTCTACAACCTTCAAGGCCCCACTCAAATTCTAACCTTCTGGGATGCCTTCCCTAACACTCCACCCATTCCTCAGTATTTAAATTTCATAATACTTCCTTTTGCAAGCAACCACTCTCTAATTAAAAAAAAAAAAAAAAGGCCGGGCGCGGTGGCTCAAGCCTGTAATCCCAGCACTTTGGGAGGCCAAGACAGGCAGATCACGAGGTCAGGAGATCGAGACCATCCTGGCTAAGACAGTGAAACTCCATCTCTACTAAAAAATACAAAAAACTAGCCAGGCGAGGTGGCGGGCGCCTGTAGTCCCAGCTACTCGGGAGGCTGAGGCAGGAGAATGGCGTAAACCCGGGAGGCGGAGCTTGCAGTGAGCTGAGATCTGGCCACTGCACTCCAGCCTGGGCGACAGAGCCAGACTCCGTCTCAAAAAAAAAAAAAAAAAAAAGATACAGCTATCACTTTTACTTTGTCAGTGTCTTCTATTCCATTTACCCAATTCTGGATAGAAGAAAGATTAGCAAACAACACACAGAAAAAGAAAAATCACAGTGCTCAAATGCCATCGTTTTACAACTTGATCATTTACTGTCAAAAGGCCAGGAGAGGTACACACGAAATGCATGAATATTTACTGTTCTCTACCTTATTCGGCTTCGGGTGGTGGGAGTCACAGATGCTGTTGGAGAAGAGGATAAGGAAAGCTGTGGAGACGTGGTTCCCATAGCCATCAGAGAGGCTGGCGACGCTCCCTCCTGTGCAGAAATGTCCCGTTTCATTTCTTCACTACTTCGTCGGGACACTGTGAGAAACAGTCATAATGCACTTTATAGCAAAAACATTTTAGACTGAGTTCTTGAGATTTTTTTTTTTTCTGAAGATTCCAAAAACAACAGATATTACCATACGGGAGGAAAAACTAATACTGATAACAGGAAAGTATTTCTTATTTTTCCATTAAAAAATCTGTGAGGCCAGCCGCGGTGGCTCACGCCTATAATCCCAGAGCTTTGGGAGGCCGAGGTAGGCAGATCACTTAAGGTCAGGAGTTCCAGACCAGCCTGGCCAACATGGTAAAACCCTGTCTCTACTAAAAATACAAAAAACAGCCAGGCATGGTGGCGCATGCCTGTAATCCCAGCTACATGGGAGGATGGGGCAGGAGAATTGCTTAAACCGGGGTGGTGGAGGTTGCAGTAAGCCAAGACTGCGCCACTCTGCACTCCAGCCTGGGAGAAGGAGACAGACTCCGTCTCAAAAACAAAAAACAAAAAACAACTGTGAAAAGGCATAGTTGAAATATGCACTGAACTCCACATTCCTTATAGACAAGGAGTGTGCCTTTTCCATCTCTATACCCCTCACAGTACCTACCAAGTACATAGCGAGTACTACATAAACAGCTATTGCTATTTAATTACAAATACAACTAAAAACCAAAGGTGAATTATAACCAGACTTGTAACTACTCAGCCCTGCCCAACACACACAACACAAACCTTCTAAATTCAGCCAAAAACACTGTTAAAGGGACAGAAAGGAAACACATGCTTTATTATAGGGCTACATGTAACGCTAGGTCAGGGTCCTTTTTTTTTTTTTTTTGAGAAGGAGTCTCACTCTGTTACTCAGGCTGGAGTGCAGTGGCGCATCTCGCTTACTGCAACTTCTGCCTCCTGGGTTCAAGCGATTCTCCTGCCTCAGCCTCCTGAGTAGTTGGAATTACAGGCGCCTGCCACCACGCCAGGCTTATTTTTGTATTTTCAGTAGAGACAGGTTTTTGCCATGTTGGCCAGGCTGGTCTCGAACTCCTGACCTCAGGTGATCTGCCCACCTAGGCCTCCCAAAGTGCTGGGATTACAGGCATGAGCCACCACAACTGGCCTCAGGGCACATTTTAAAAAACTAAATCAATAAGACAGAAAACCAAAATGTATCAAGTCAACTGCTGGGAAATAGCAACAATCTTTTGGAAAAGTCCTATACTGAAGTCTGGCATAGTAAGACATTGTACTACCGTATTAGAATTACAAAATGTTCTGAGAACCATTGAGTGGGAGCAGGCACTTCAGCCATTGGTATCAGATCCACAACAGCAGCTTTCTAAAGGCAGCATTGAGTATTGCCAGGTGCTCAGAACGCAGGGCTGAGCACAGTGACAAGTTACATAGTTGACAAAGTTCCTGACCTCAGATTCTTTCTCACCTCAGAAGAAGGTAGATCTGCAGGAGCCATTGACTCTATCATTCCTGGGCAGATTTAATGCAATCAATGTTACCTGTCAGTAATTGTTTTCCCCTGATTACTGAGAACTGCTGCCCCCACCCCCAACCCCCGCTTTATTGGCTACAATTTTCTCAATGATTTTAGGATAACCACAAGCAGAATGTGACTCTGCATTAGTAAAGCAATGCCCTTAAAGATCCAAAGGGCACAAATATTTTCTCCTATTATATGATCTTCAAATGACATGCTTATATATTTCTGGCATAATTTTATAATTATGTTTTCTTTTTCATTCAATCTCTGTTCTTTATAGTCCTTAAATCAGTAGTTTCTTTTAAGTGGTATGCTAGGAAACTGGATGAGAAAACCTCTCAGAACTTTATACAAATAGAGGAAACAGACTGAGAAAGAATCTGAAGAACACACACATAGAAAAATGCTTTTGGACGGTAATTTTAGCTGAGCACAGGACCTCCCACTGATTTAAAGCCTAGCTAGGCTGGGCACAGTGGCTCACAACTGTAATCCTAGCACCTTGGGAAGCCAAGGTGAGAGGATAGCTTGTGGCAAGGAGTTTGAGACCAGCCTGGGCAACATACTGAGATCCTGTCTCTAAAAAACAAACAATAAAAATAAAAAATTCAGATCAAAGTCATCACCTGAGAGGGTCTTGGCACTTTCCATCGCAGGCACTCTTGGGAGGGAAGCAGGCCGGCTGGTTGAAGATGTTCTTAACAGATGCTCTGTACAAAGTAGAAAGGATCCCAATAAAGACATCTGATGCTGAACTTTAAAGTAATAATGGTACAAAGAAGGTGAGTTTCACTTCTTTCAACCTTGAATCTCATCCTTCTTCTCAATCCAGGGAACTTCAACAATTTCCCATAGTCTGTTTATCCAAAACAACTCGTGTATACACAGAACACAGTAGAACATCCCATTCAATGTTTTATCTCTAGGAATGAGACGCCCCACACAGACGAATACTTCTAAATTCCGGGCTGCCACTTACCTGTTTGATGCAATTCCACCAAAATTCAAAGATCCTCTACTGCAACTAGGTCTAAGCTACAAACCAAATAAAAGCTTTGCCTTCACGTGCCTACAGTTAGTGTGGAAGCTATACATATTAATATATACAACCACAGACAAGTCAGGATGGGATAATTAGAGTAACAGAAATGACAAAAGTATTATCAAACCACAGAGAAGACATTCTCTTTGATTTCAGGCAGCAGGGAAGGTGCTTCAAAAAAACCAATGACATTAAGCTGGGCCTTACTGAAAAAAGGTGGGGAACTATATTTTAGCCGACAACAGTCAGAGAAAGGTACAAAGACATTCAAGTTAGAGAATAAAGGCAAGTATGGCTAAAACATGGGGTATGTGGAAAATAAATAGGACACCACGGAAAGGGGCTTTAAAGGAGGATGAGGCTCATTAAGGAAAACCTTCATTACCTGACATGTGGACTTTAGTCTGAGGGCAACAAGGAAGCGTCAAACATTTCTGAGCCTTCAGGGAAGGACACAATCAGATATTGCTTCGACCATCTCCAGCTTCACCTTGTTCTACTCCTCCCTTGTTCTCTAAATACAAGCTGTCTTGGGAGTTCCTTTAGTACCCTGAGCATTGGCGCCAGCTGTCCCCTCGCCTCCTCCTCTGTTCCCTCCTAATCCTGGCTAACCTGATCACCCTTCAGGTCTCAGTTGAACATCACTTCCCTGGGACCTGCTTCCCTGCCAGCACCCGCCAAACACAGACCGGAGTTGCCCTGCTGACTCTCTTCCTGCACACTTCTTACCTAGGGCTACAACCTGACAAGACTCTTCAGACCAGGACACAGGGAGGCAGTCACAAGGACAATCAGAATTGTTCTTTCTGGTTAGCGTCTGGTGTGTGACTGGGCTAAGAGAAAACACCAAACCTTGTATGTAATGAAGACTCTCAGCCAAGAATGTCCACCAATCCTTTTTAAGAACTGACAATTTAAACATGATCCCTCCTAAAAATATAATGATGTCAAAAGTAATGGCATATCATGCTATCTCTTAAGGATAACACATATTCTTCACTCCAAAATTTCCTTTCTCTTCTTTTTCTTCCTCCTTCTCCTCCTTCCTCTTCTTCTTGCTCTCTCATTTTTTGTTTTTTGTTTTTTTGGGGGGCTGGTGGTGGGGGGGAACAGGGTTTCTCTCTATTGTCCAGGCTGAAGTGCAGTGGCGCAGTCTTGGTTCGCTGCAACCTCTGCCTCCCAGGCTCAAGTGATCCTCCTGCCTCAGCCTCCCAACTGGCTGGGACTACAGGTGTGAATCACCACACCTGACTGGTTTTTGTACTTTTTGTAGAGACGAGGTTTCACCATGTTGCCCAGGCTGGTCTCAAACTCTTGAGCATCCTGCGTTCAAGTGATTTTCCCACCTCAGCCTCCTGAGTAGCAGGGATTACAGGCGCCTGCCACCACACCAGGCTTATTTTTGTATTTTCAGTAGAGACAGGGTTTTGTGTCTCCCCTTAAGACGGGGTCACGGTGCCCGCTATGTTCCCTGAACCCCTGGTACTTGTTTTTTTCTTAGCATCCCTCACTTGTAATGACTTTTTGAATGTTTGCTTCTACTCTAGACTCCAAATTCCATGAGATCAAGTTTGCTGTCTCCTTTCTTTTTTTCTCAGACCTTTGCACCAAGCCAAGTGCCTGGCAAGTAGTGGACACCCAAATGATTTTTGTTTAATGAATGAATTAAGACAAGAATAGCTCCACATGGCAGTAGAATAGAATCTGTTGCTGTAAATATAATATCTCCTGCCTGCTACACTCAATTGTAATACACTAATCTTATTTCCTGAAGAGAGATAAACCAACAGTTTGACATGATCATGGAAGCCAGCCTACTTAGTAGAGTAGGTAAATGAACCTGTGTTTTCTAAAATCTTTTTTTTAGCATCATGCACTTGCAGGAAAATGTTTCATACCAGAGAAATCTTACTATAAATGCACTTAATCAAATGCTCTTTTGTTGGTGTTACCGGCAGTTGAATTAAATGGCTAGGGTCATGACTGGTGCCACCTTAGTGAATCTTTGTAGATAGTATATGAATATTAGCATTTGTGCCCTAAACTGAAAAGCACAGATTCTGCTACCTGCTACATGGATACAGGTAGTTGAAAAGTGCACAGTGACCAGATGAGCTCCAGAATGTTAAGCATAAACCTCGGCTGGCTGGTGTAAATGGTTGAGAAGCCTGGGATTGCCCAGTGTCAGTGTGACACTATCACTGTGTCTCTCAGCTCAGGCATACAGATATCTTAAGAAGTTGGTTAGTCCAAGTGTAGTTGTGTTCTGTAAGCAAATTCATACCATTATTACCTGTCTAAATTGTGTTACTTGAGGTTAAAGATTTTTGTAAACTGAGTATTTTGAAAAAAATGATTTATGTTAAGGATACATGCCATAAATTTATATAAAATTAGGAGGTTTTACTGGAAAGCCAAACCTTCTGCTCAAAAAGTTTCAGAGAATTGTCTTTTTTTACTCTAAATCAGATTTTGCCTCAGCTTTAGATCTAGCCTTAGGCCATGAAAGTCCCAGGATACAATGAGATAGAAATCCTACCCCACTTCACTTTACAGTCTAATTGCATATTTAGTCACTTCTCCTTCTTCTTCCTCTTCCCTGTGGTTCTTGGTAAAAATCAGAATATCTCGGCTCCTGTTTTCTCCCCAACATATTATGATAAAAATTTTCAAACATAAATTTCTCTTCAATTTCTCTCAGCAATATTTTATTGTTTTCATTGCACAGGT